AGAGAGAGAGAGAGAGAGAGAGAGAGAGAGAGAGAGAGAGAGAGAGAGAGAGAGAGAGAGAGAGAGAGAGACTTTAGACAATAGAGACGGACAGAGAATGACAGATACAGAAAGACATGCTGCAGACAGGTCAAAGGGGTGAACATACACACACAAACAGACAGGAAGGGAGACGGTGGGTGTGAAGGTTATAGCACGTGCATATGAGAGAGAACATAAGCAGAGATGCATGCACATGGAGAAAGATAGGGTGTGCAAGTGAGAGACAAGGCAGGTAGACAACTAAGAGGAAAGTAGATAGAGAGAAAAATGTGTATGTGAGGGAGGTAGAGGAGGGAGGGGATGGCAGACAGAGGATCATGAAAAGGTACCTCTGGCCCAGATTCTGTGACCAGAATATCATCCTCAAGCCGTACACCGATTCCTCGGAACCTGTACAAGAATGGGGGTCAGGGGGGCAGAGGGGCAGAGGGGCCAGAGGGGGCAGAGGGGCAGAGGGGCAGAGGGGCSAGAGGGGCAGAGGGGGCAGAGGGGCAGAGGGGAGCGAGGAAGAGGGGGGTCATGGTATTGAAAAGGAGGGGTGAGGCAGGGAACGGTCAGTCAGAGTCCTTTGACCAGAAAACAACAAAGGGCATAAATATTAAATATTAAATTTACCATAAAATTTGACAAAAGCAATTTGATTTCCTTGTTTCACTTTAGTCATTTAAAGTTTAAACTTTAAAGTTAACTCGTTTTGGCATTTCCCCTTGACCTTTCAGGTCCTTTTGTCGTCCTTCGCCTTGCCCTTCATTTTGGCCGGAAAACAACCCCAAAGAAGACACGCAGTATTACAAAATGGAAATCAGAAAGAGGATGATTGCTGTAAAGAAAGAAGATTGGGGGCAAAGAAAGAAGATTGGAAATTGAACCACATCCATTCACAAAAGCAAAGTCATTTAGAACGATCATAGATGCAAGAACACTTCTGAAAAACAGATGCAACAACAGACATGTATGTTCAAGCTTACTCTACCTGGGAAAACACACACAAGCAGCAGTTCTCTCCCTCTCTCCCTCTCTCTCTCTCACACACACACACACACACACACACACACACACACACACACACACACACACACACACACACACACACACAGGTACTAACCAGCGAAACAACGTAAGCTTGAGGTGTGCTGCAGGTGGAGCGGTCTGAAGACCATCTCCGACTATGGTGTCCAAAAGGTAAGCCCTCAGGTGAGTCCTCTCTCCCTCTGCACCTCCTGGCCTCGACTCCCAGTCCTCCTATCTCTTCTACTCTAGCCCAGCACAGCTAATCTCCAGCGCTTCTCCAGGAGCATAGTCGTGTGACTCCCAGAATCCTGTGTACCCAAAATGAAGGCTGGCCCAGCTCTATATAGCGCTGGGCCCACTAGGTCCTGCCTCGGCCTGTGTCCTGGGCCGGCCGATCGTACAGCTGATCCATGTTCCAGGATGCAGGCTCAAGTTGTGGTCGTGATACCTGGCCTAAAAACGGCCTGCCTAGGTCCTAACAGGACGTCCAGGCTCCTCTACTGCATCAGCAGATCTGTCCTCACTTAGGACAAACCAGGGCTGGATCAAAACGTGCTTCAGCCCGCATCTGACTGCGCCAGGCCTGAAAAACGGCCACTGGGCCTAAATCAGGCCGACTGGTCCAGAGGCACTACAGGTCTGGACAAATACTGGAAAGACACCTCCAGACCGGGCGATGAATGGAACTGTAATGACCTGCAAAATCACAGACTGAAAGACCTGCTGTTTTTTGAGTTTGGCTTCTGGACTAAGTGACTCGCTGAGATTCCCGTAAGTACGTGTGTGCATGTTTGCTGAGTTTTCGTGCGTTTGCCTGACTGCATGATTGCCTGGGTGTGTGTTAGTCAACATCCCCAAGCGCTCTCTCTCTCATTCCATCCTCATACCATCACAAACCATCCATAAACAAAAGAAGTATAGATGAACAATATAACAGAAGGTGCAAGGTTCCCCACGTTTGTGTGGTTGAGCAGGAAGTGCCCACACACCCATCTGCCTTCGAAGTGGCACACAAGCACAAATATATAGTTTTTCCAATCTATAAAAACAAAGGGCAGAAGACAACATACCTAACACAGAAGGATCCACCAGCGAGAAAGCACCGACCAGAGGCAGAATTGTCCGAAAAAACTTGGAGAGTCACGTCACCACTATCTCTATCACTCCATGGCTAGACAGTCCCCATCTGCTGTCTAGCCTCTGGAGTATATAGAGTACCATAAACCCAAAGACCACAAGATGTTCACACGACACCAGGAGGGCTACTGCTCAAAACACCCCGATAGTCCTCGTTTCTTCCATGTGCTCCAAAAGAGCAGCCCATGGGAATGGCACCCACAGAAAACACTCTTTAAACCTCCTCGCCAAGATACTGTGGCCAGAACTCCAAACATGCATTTACAGAATCTCCACGCAACACCAGGAGCACTACTGCTTAAAACACCATGGAAGCACCACCATCTTCCATGTGCTCCAACAGGGCAGCCCGTGGGAGTGACACCCACAGCACAGACTCTCTGAGCCTCCTCGCGAAGATACCGTGACCATGACTCCAAACAAACATTCCCGCCCAAAAACATTGAGGCCACCCACAACCATGCCTTCATCAACAGACAGCCCGTGCTCTACAGCAGGGCAAAGTATTAGGCCATGCATGGATGAAGAACAACCAACAAATTATCCGACCACAAAAAAGAATAGCTCACTAGTACGAGCCTGATCCTAGCCACTCAAATCTGCCAAGACAGAGAGCTAGCAAGACCGGAGTGTGTGTGTGTGTGTGTGACCCACCGTGGTACTTGTGTGCTGGGAAGGCCTATGAGCCTGATACTTACTTGTGGCCATACTTTTGTGAGCGCAGCGGGAACTAGAAGTAGGCTAGAACCACATAGAAGGGAAAACACTTCAGTAGTGGATAGATAGGCAGAAGGAGACAAAAAGTTGGTACCTTTAGAGGCTGATGTAATCCTAGAGGTCCGGTAGGATTAGAGTCCAGGGGTATCGAACCAGTAGTCTGAGTGCGGGGCCTGTGGACGGGAATATCAGACCACAATGATGTTCCCTCCAAAAGTAGGAGGTACCGGTAGCTAGGGAAAAAGGCCGCACGACCTGGAAAGCCACCGCTCGAAGAGCCAGTAGCCCGGTATATCTAGAGAAATAGCGAAGAAGGAAGAAGGCGGGATTAGCGCTCCACCTTGGTTACGGTGGAGAGGACCAAGGAGGAGACTCCGGGGTAGTAGTCGTAGGAGGAGGAAGACAGTGAGGAAGGAGGAGATTGACGAGGGAGCTTAGCTGGCTATGGTGGTCTGCAAGAGTCAGCATCTTCACCTTCTTGATTGGCACTGCACCGGGGAGGCCCCAGAAGGGGTTCCCACCTACAAGGAAGGCTTCAGGGCCATAGTAGAGGGCTATGTTCGCTTTTCGTTGTCCTCTGAACACGGCTTCAGGGCCATAGTAGAGGGCTATGTTCGCTTTTCGTTGTCCTCTGAACATCGGGGCTGCAATCTAATCATCCGCCATACCACCAGCTCGACCAAGGAGGTGGAAGGTGCATGAGATGGCTATGGTGGACCCTTTGAGTGGCTGGGGTTAAGGAGAGGATTGACATTGGTTCTGTACATTCTTTCACTGTTGTTATTAATATCATTGTTAAGAAGAAGTCGGAGTATTTGGACGTTGGGGATGATGGTGATTGATCTTTGCTGGTGTTCATCATCTTCTACTGCTTCCATTCCTATTTCTTCTTCTTCCATTGTCTATTTCTCTTTCCATTTTTTTTCATTTCAGTTGCAAATGAACAGCCTTGTCTTTCTTTGAGTTGTTGCACTACAACTGGCCAGGATCCTAACAGAACACAGAATGAACCCAGAACCGACAAAACAAATGAGAACAACAAAAATGAAGCCAGAAAAAACGCAGACACAACCCACAAAACAAAGACAACATTAAACTCCCACCACACGACACTGAACCATGCCGGGCCCCCTTCAGTGTGGGAGCTGTGCATACCACACTACCCCACTTTTGGAAAGAACCAAAAAAAAAAGAAGACCTTTGGTGACCCCAAGGCTTTAAGATGAACCTGTGTTTTGGAAGCTGCCAGGTTGAAAACTCGGAGGGATTGATAATTTGAATCAATTTTTGATACGTTTTCCCTTTTTCTTTTTAAAATTTAAATGGATATCATACTTGCCAAGGATGGACTCAGCGCGAAGTACAAGATTGGACTGAGTTTGAAAACAAAGGCTGATCAGTACAACAGGGAAAGAAGCAAACATACAATTCCAGTTGCAATCTCCACCGAACACAATACTTTAGGGACTACCTCTCTTTTGGAAAACGCAGAAAAAGAGGAGGAAGAACTTTGATGAGTCTGTGTTTTGAAAGCTGCCACGTGGCAAACCTGGATGGATTGATACGTTTTTCATTTTCATTTTTGATGGATATCATACTTGCCTAGGGTGGGTTGAGTGTGAAGTAAACTGAGCGGAATTCTGAAGCAAAGGCCAACCAATACAACAGGGCGAAAAGGAAACTTACAATTCCAGTAAGGATTCCATGGTATGCAAATTTGCCGGAAGACCACCAAGTACACCACCCGAAACCAAAGTATTCCCTGCCAACCGTCTGAAACACGCACCAACAAGAATTTTAGAATAACTTCTGAGTAAGTGGAGGATGAAGAAAACCAAGGGCGCACAAAATCTCAACTCATAAGCTCATGGAGAAGGATCTTCCCAAAAAAAGAGTAGGCCCCAGAAGGAGAGATGAAATCCTCAGACAACCAATATTCGGCAATCCTTGGATCAAAGATGAGAATGGTCACACAATCCAACTCACCAAAGCAAACACAAGAATGGGGTCATTGGTTAGAAAGGGTTGCTCGACAGATTCAACAGAGGATACAAACACCTGAAGAACCAACAAGGAACTAAGGGCAACCCTGCAAGGCAGCCACAATCTACAGACCAACATCTCTACCATCATTGAAAGCATCCCTATGGAATGGAGACAACAACTAAAGTCCACCCAGAAATGGCTTTGGGGCGACAGGGCGATAATAAGGGGACAAACAGTGACCCATCCTAAAAATAATAAGCTACGAACAACACAACAAAGATTGGATTCTATGCTCCATTTTCCCTCCGGAGGAAACGGGCAACCCGGCGAGCTTCCTCAACAAGGAATGCAGAGCCGAAGGAGCCCTTAGAGCTAGCAACCTCAAAAGAAGGACAAAAACAGGGTCTATAAGCCAGAAACAGAAATACACTACCTGGAAACAGAACCAGTTGAATGGGTCCTGGAGTACGCCGAGCCCCCAATCCCTAATCGAACACCGTCACATGCTAACCCACCACACCCCTGAACTGGGGTACATGTTCTTCTCAAAACGGACTTCAGTTTCACTCTACTTCAAAAGAGATGGGGAAAAGAAGAAACCACTCTTTCACATGTTATCATCAAACCAGCCTGGTCCTCGATCATCTGCACAAGACCAACCAAACTCGTGAGCCTACTGTGGCTCATAAACTTCAGAGCAGTCCCTGTCAACCTATGGCTCTCACAAGAAAGAAGAAAAGAAGAGAGAACAGAGCAAGAAAAATGATGTAACATATGCAATTCACAAGCCCGGACTGAAATGACCAGGCTGCATAAAAGCCAAACAACTGTGGCAAGACACAGAAACAACCTGGAACAAGCAATCCGACACTATGATCACAAGTAACCCCCCCACTCTATTCCTAGACGAAGAACAACCCCCCCACTTATTTGAACTCTTCTTCTCCCTAACCAGAAGGGGAAACCTCTGGGCTATATGGATAAGGAGATGTGCAACAAATTTCAACGATATCGGGACCCAACTCCAAAATCCCCTCATCACCATCAAACAGATCGTTGGAACCGAGATCCAAGCCATCTGGAACAAAACAAAAAAAACAGTTACAGGAAGTCACAGATGAAAAAACAGAGCTCATCAAGAAATTCACGACTCTGAGGCTAGGTAATGGAAAACTTGGCTCAATTGTGGGAGAGAGGCTACTTCTCAAGGGTTGGCTCGTCGTACCAGCACAGCTCAAGCAGAACCTGATTACCTTCCCAATGACAGCCCCAATCTCACGGCCAGTTGACCCTAATGCATTACCCTCTGACAGAGCAGAACAGATAATCTGAGTCTGGAAGGAATGCCAAGAGCCGAACCCACAATAAGAGAAAAGTCCCAGTGCGAGATCCATACCAAGATATCCCCCAACCCAGGTCTACCCACACCAAGTCTGTTACCCCCAGGTCCCCTGAAGCATCTACCCAGCCTCTGTCCCATATTACCTGGAATAACCACTAACACCCTCAACCCTAATCGAAGCATATCCTCCCACTCTGACCAAAAACCACAAACAGTCTACTGTTTTTAACTACTACAAAGCTTTCACCTGCCATTTGCATTCCCACGCATCCATTATCTCAAACTAGCAGGGTAGGGAAAGTTTTGCAGTCTTCAACAGGGTTGGTTTCAAATTTCAATCCACAGGTACCCAAGGAGTTAGGGAACAGTATGATTCACCAAGGAGAGCGTGCCAGAAAATAAAGTTACTCAAGTAGTAATCGCCGGTCAGCCATACGAAGTTTGCACAGATGTTTCATTGTTTCTTTTGAAGCTAGAATACAAAAAAGATTGAAATTGTATGAAAACATAATACATATCAATATGTATGTTTTTAATTTGAAAAAGAAAATGTTATAAAAGAAAGCAAATTTGGATATAAAAGAAAAAATCATAGTAATAAATATTGTATAGGCCTTGGACTATAGGGTTTAGAGGTTAGTATCATACATGCGGCGCAGCGACATGCGCTGCAACACGCACGTGCGCTGCAACGCGCAGAGCGCACGATGTGCGCGCATCACATGCGGCGCATTCAGAAATCG